TTTAAAAACTCTGTAAGTTGGAAACTTTACTCAACTATTTACCTGGAAAGCCACAGACATGGATGTTACATATGCTTCTTAACAAACTGCAGCATCTTTAAGTTAGGCATTTAATATATAGTTATGCTTTATGGACAAGAATTATTTCAAAATTCTTTATTATTCATATAGGTCATATATATCCACTGTACAGTGACTTCAACTGGAAACATTAAATAACCAGAACATACTAATAAATATACTTGTGCATTGGGAACATTTTGTCCTATTTAAAAAGTAGCCAGAAATTAAATACTAGTATTATATTTCTCTTTGAAATATTAGGTAGACCATTTTCTCAGTCTTTTGGGATTTCAGGCAATTGCTACATGCCAAAAAAAGGATGATCTGCTCTGTAATCTTCTCTGTCACTGAGGTCAGACTGACAGGTTTGTAGTTCCCTGGATCTTCCTCTTCCTTCAGTCACTCCCTTTTCTAAAAAGCATTTTAAACAGCAGGAAGCATCTATAGACATCTGCTTAAGAGTATTAGAGATTAGCTTACTTTAGTTGTTTTTGTTTTCTGCCAGTTACCACCAAAAGTTCTTTAACAGAAAACTGAATACTCTGCAAAGTGGCAAGATATTATTTTTTCCTCCCCCTTCATTTAATAAAGATAAGTATTCTGAGCAAATTCCTCTAGTAATACTTAGCAAGTGACTTATTTTATTCCATTATTTCAGTCCATGGTCATTGATGTTTGGAGTTTGTGTGCACTAACAATTTTTCTTTCAAATGTGACAATGGTAATAACACACAAAGTATAATGAACAAAGCTTAAAATGACAGCATTTGGTGCTGAGAGATATACTGCTGTGTAATTCCAGTGACACTCCTGTGATATAAGGACCTCTCATGATGCCATGAAAATTCCTTTACCTTTAGTACAGGGAATAGAGTTGTGGAAGAAACATTATTGATCTCTTTATCTCTTTGAGTTTTGAAATACGTAAGTCTTCCACTGTATTTCAACACGAAGTAGAGACCTTCCCCAGATATTCTGGAGATGGCTGAAGGCTTGCCTTCAAATAGGAAGTAGTGAATTAATTCTTTATTCAGACTTGCTTGTGTATGTTAGTTTCTGCTTTACCTATTAACTGTTTTTACCTCAACTTTCAAAAGTTTTCTTATTTTTCCACTTCCAATTCTCTCCATCATACTGCTGAGGGAGAGTGAGCCACCACTGTGTGGTGCTTAGCTGCCCACCAGGGTTAAGTCATGACACCACTGTGTTCTGGAGAATGAAAGAATTAAAAATGTAGATTTGATCAGATAGTAGGGTTTAAATTAGGCTATGTCATTGTTTTGTTTAACACTAGAAATGCTGTCTTAACTAGATTGTGAAAGATATAAAACTTGTCTATCCCATATCCTCTTTCCTGGGACATTCTTTCTACAGAAGACTGTTTCAAATCACTTGCATAGTTCAACAATGTGAGCTTCATCCAAGTCTGTTTATATTAATGTCCCATATACCTGTAGAAATTAGCAGTCTTGCCTCAATTAAATAAAACAGAGAGAAAGAGAAAAATCTGGGATAAATCTGGGAATGATCTTAATGAGTCTTCTAAAAGGAAGGTTTGAAAATGAGGAAAAAAATAAGTAATTGATGTAGTACTTTAAATTCTGGTTGCTGAATTTGCTTGGGGTGCAGTCCATTTTAGCAGCAGTAAGATTATTCTAATTAAAGGACTTTTCTACCAACTAAATGAAGTGTCTGACATGCCCAATCAATTCCTGCCAATACGATTGCCCTACACATAAGAAAAGATAGTAATTAATTAGAGGAGGCTTCTTCAAGGACAATTTGTCTACTGCGCAAAACCTGAGAAATAGCTGACTGGATTCCTTCATTTCAATGTCATAAGCTGTATTACTTACATGCACTGTTGTAGATACAAAGGTTTTTATCCGTTTTCAGAGAAGAGAAAAAGAGAAAGGAAAAGAGAAACTAACTGCAGAAGGAAATCAAAAGTACTAAAGTCATGACATCTATTCAACAAAAATAACTATATTTTATAACCTTGTATTCTCTCATTTGAGAGTTTACGCCAAACACACGGATATTTTCCTGAGTCAGTTATCCAAAATGTGTTTTACATATAAACAGAAATAAGAAATGTAGTTTAAAATTACATTTGTTTGCATATGCTAAGCTTCTCCAAGGTTTCATTGAAGAGTATGAAACCAAAAGGAAATGTTTTTATTATTTAAATCAAAGTTTTGCTTTTCACAGGTAAGAATGTTACACATTGTAATACTTTTTTCTTGAAGTTGACTCTAAATATAATTTAAATGTTAGCACAAAGCCTGCAGCTGTAATGTTTATAATTTACAAACACAAGTAAGAACAATTAGATGAGAAACTGCCATAGCCTTTCTGTTTGCAGATGTTATTCAATTCAGAATCAAGCAAATATGCCAAAATTGCCACTCTGTTGCCTTCCCT